TTTGTATCGTGGCTACAAACAGAGCGTTAACAGTTTTTAATTCATTAATCTTCACATGTTTTTAACGTATTGATTAAAAAAATGTATATAGTGTCAATAGTAAGTTAGAGTGAACACACTGTATATAACTAAGTTCGCTTAATAAGACTAAATACTAGTAGCAACCAGTTTTTATTCACAAACCTATGTCAATACTAGCTGACCCGGCAAACATTGTTTTGCCATATCAAAATTAGCTGTTGGTGATAAAAAAGTAAAAATTTAGGGTTGTATGTATTTTCTTATGCCACATATTATAAAAAAATAAATATAAAACCGTTCGTCCAATTTTAAAAAATTTAGGGGTGAACAACAACACTCAGGGGTATGAAAAATAGATGTTAGCCGATTCTCAGACCTAGTCAATATGCTCACAAAATTTCATGAGCATCGGTCAAGCCGTTTCGGAGAAGTACGGGAACGAACATTGTGACACGAGAATCCTACTAATATTATAATTACGAAAGTTTGTGAGTGTGTCTGTATGTTTGTTACTTCTTCACGCTCAAACGGCTGAACCGATTTTGATGAAATTTTGTATACAGGAAGCTGACGTCCACGAATAACACATAGGCTACTTTACATCCTGGAAATCCGCGGGTAACACCGCGGGATGCAGCTAGTTCTATATATAAGATTTGTGTGTGTGTGTGTTTGTATATAGGGTCATACCATAAGTGCAATCGCTATCCCTCTGAATATATCAAGTGACCTTAGCCGTGACCTTGTCGGTGACCTTGGGACGCTCGCCTCTGTAGTCAGCACCCTTGTTTCCGAACCAAGCTCATTATCCTCCCTGGTTAAAAACTTGACATATACAGGGTGTTCCAGGATAGATTAATTTCAGCATATACAGGTTGATTTGATAGGAACATAATAAGTATAGAGATTTTAATGTTTTTTTTTTCAACAAATTTAATTATCATAATTAATAACCAGGAAAAATGCAGCAAGATGAAGGCCGAGGATTGTTATCAATAAAAAAGTTGTATTAATGTCACGAGAATAAATATCATTGATATTGTATTGAAATGAACTAAGTAAATAAAAAACTTATTACCTTGCGAAGTATCTGGCATAAAGTCTGCCAGCGACTACTCTTTTGCCGATACCCTTAATAATATACCACAGTGTAGCCATAGATAGTAGTACAACCGCTGCGGTTAATATCGGCAAGTAGGCTGCGTCAGGTTCAGCAGTCATCCTCGGAGGACATTCATCCTTTGTAACTTCGGTCACATTGATACTGTACTGACCAAATTCACCAAAATGATATGTTCCTGAAACATAAAACATCAACATCATCGGCTTATCAGAACCCACAGCTAAGCAAAGGCTAATTCTCACATGGAGAAGGTTTGAGCATTAATCAAGACACTTGTTCAAGACGGGTTGGTGATTTCAAACTTATGATTTGATATTATAAGTCCAGGTTTCTGCACAAGTTTTCTTTCACTGTCTGTCAGTGGTGTCTAAATACTCTTATAAAGTACATATGACTCGGATAAATCACATTGGTACTTGTCAGGTTTTGAACCAGCACCCTCATGCATGAGAGGCGGGCCTTTAACCTCTAGGCCTCCACTACCAAAATATAGTTTTATTATTTGTCTTGACAATATAATCTAGAGATTCTTGATTTTTGAAAAAATTATTTTTGCAAGTAATGTTAGCATTTTAACATATTATGTGTACTTGAATGTGGATAGTGTAAATAGTACAGATTAAAAAAAAATTATTGTTTTGAACTTAGGTTTCAAGTTTCATTGGACAAGCAGGTTTTATATTTTACTAATAAAATAATGATTGTTAAATAAATTTAGAGCTACTTACTTAGGAAAAGTGTTGCTGTTTATGAAACAATATAATATATAATTATATATCAATTTGTAAATATAAAGTAAATAGATGTGGCAATAGGATGTATTTAATGACCTTTTATGCTTTAAATCATATATGTATTATGGTACTGTTAGAAGAATCTCAGTTAATGTAGCATATAAAATTACATATATTATTTTGATTTCAACTTTATGTCATTAAATAACACTATATTATTTGACCTATAACCATTCTTTTTGTGTTAATATCAAAATAAAGCTATTTTCCTGACCATAAGTGTGTAGATCTGTTTAGTCAAGTGCAACAAAAATATAGATATATAAAGATAAAAGATAAGAAAATCTTGTTTATAACGTAATATAAAAGCGACAAAGGAAATTGCTATATTATTATTAAAGATTTTATAAACAAAATGGCTCTGTTTTCATATAAAACACTAACAAAGACAATGAGTCATTCTAATCATTTCACCTGACAAATTTATAGTTAAATGAATATTAAATGTGTTATATCGTAATATTAGCATGAATAACCAGTTTCGCGGTGAAATATTGACAGTATTATACCCATACCATTACATATAAGTCCATTGCCATTTTTGATAGCGTAGCGCAATGGGCTCTCAGTCTCAATCACAACAGCGCCGGTTGAAGATAATTTCTTTGTTTCCAACAACATGCAATCCTCACAGACTTCATATTGGCTCCAGAACGTAATTTTCTCGTTTGTTATAATCTCCAAACATGCCTGATCGTATTTCAACGTAGTACCATTGCAGTCGCGCACGAATGCGCCGACGTTTTTAAAATTACCTAACATCTTTCAATAACTCTACATTTACTTTAAATGTTATGAATTATAAAATATATAGTTCGTGCACAATAGCGAGATCACAAAAATAATCAGATCTGCAAATATCTGACAACGTAAATAAATGAATCATGAAAGGAAGAATGACATCTGACAACAAAATAGAATAAATCACTGACAGATGGAAATTATTTAGTACAGACTACAGAGTAAAATTATACTTAAAAGGCCGAGAAAACATATAATTACATATTAAAATTCGTTGGGTAGTTAGTTTAATATTGTGAAAATATTTTATTTCAATTATGTATATTTATATTGTATGTTATATATATGGGTACCGTCAGTGACTATTCTTCTTTATTTAATGGAACAGTAAATCTTGCTATTGACGAACTTACTTATATTGTCGACTGCTTGTAATTCGAGTTCAAATACATATTGCTTTATATAATGTATTACTGTCTATTGGTATATATAATATGTCAATTAAGGTTAGGCTAAGCGCGCAGGATAACCCTTGCATTATAAGTCTTCATAGGCTAAGATGACAATATCAGACTGACCGTCCGATTGTTTGCCACTGAAGTATTTTAAGAGGACAAAAAGAAAAAATCAACGACATAATCAAAGAACTAAAATTAAAGAAATAAGTTGAAATTTTTGTTCTGTATTTACCTATTCCCAATAGTTTATGTCAGTCGAATTTAGTGTTATATATTTTTAATGAAAAACCAGTTTTTTGATAACATTAAAATTATGTCACTTTATACGAACAATGGTGTTATCGAGGGATATTAAGAATATATTTACAAATTTTATTAATTATGCTTCAGAATTCTAATTTAATTTCTATTTAATTGTCTAGTTTCTTGCAATGTGTTTAAAGTAAGATATAGTAATCTGAATCACTTTTTAAAACATTTATTTTATAATACAATCTCATTATATAATGTGTCTCTAAATGATAAAACCAACATGATATTTGTAATTATTTTTTCTATTCTTTAGTGAGACTAGAATATATTTAATTAATGTGTTTACGTTACTTATATTGACTATTAATATTATTATGTGACTAACTGTTACCCGCGACTTCGTATGTGTAAAAAAAACTTTTAAACGCAACATGTTCCCCGCTTCTCACTAGCGCGTTATAAATCTTAATTCAGTATTGGGACAAAAAGTAGCATAAGCCACTCCTTACTTCATTAGCTACTTGCCAATAAAAGCCCCGTTGAAATCGGTCGTCATTTCACGGATAACACAGAACAAAGAGACAGACAGACAAACATTATATATAATTTTACTTTGGTGTATGTACAGTACGTATATTTAAATGCATGTATTAAAAAAACAGTTATAACAATATTACAATATATAGACAGTTAACGGGATAAGTACAAAATTCCTTGTCAACTTCTATTTCTTATATTTATTGGGAGTGGGAAAGTAAACGGAACCAATATGAATGTAGTAGCATTTAATAAATATAAAAACATTATTTTTATACATTTTAGTTATTATCTAGTTTATTTCTTTAATTGTACTTAAAACTTAATGGAATTTCTGACAATATATTTAATATAGTCTGTGTTTACATCATTCCAATTCATATTATATCTGTAATATTATAAGTATTACCTATTTATTTATTTTACTATTATTTGTTAGTGATTTATTACAAATACATAATGGAGTAGTTGCTGTTTCATTTTGTATAAAATTTTATTAATTATTATTAGTTATTACTAATGTACGGCGTTTTCGTACTCCTGTTTTCGATGTTTTAGTTTATTTGTTACAACTCGAAGTGTTTTAAACTATATTAAGGCGGCCAACCGTCCCGCAATTCTAGACGAAATCCCGCTTTGAAATTATTAGTAAAATAGTCCCGCAAAACGTTGTATGCGTCCCGCATCCCTATTTTTCTACCGGACTTCTACACATCACCCATACCACGGTCAACAGTGCAGGAACACAGATTACCTATAATGGGGACAAGCGTATCGCGCCCGCGATAATCTCATTTTCTTTCTTTCTTCTGAACTCATGACGCGTAAGAGAGTACTTAAATTTAATATGGGCAGTTGCGAAGATTTTTATGAAATGCCCAGTCCCTACCCCCCCCCCCCCCCCCCCCGCCATTCACGAAAGGTTAAGTCCCGCATTGAGTTTTCGGAAAGTTGGCCGCCTTAAACTATATTATGATCGCGATAGGCTTACAGACAAAAGTTTTGACTCAAAACGGATATAATTATAAACCATTTTATTTTAAGTTACAAAACATAAGTAGAAGATAAATTTTAGCATTTTCTCTCTACTCACTCGAAAAAAGCTCTTGTTGGAAAGCGACCTTAGCGTTTAGGTGCTTTCTTTTTTGGACTTGGTTTCATTTTCCGTTACTGAACTTGAAATTCGTGGTTCGATCTAACATTTATTTTTCATAAAATCTATTCCAGATAACTGGTATATCGAACAAAATAAATTCGACTCTATCGTATATTCAGTAGTCGAGATTATCTTATTGGATGAATGAACTGAGTCCTATAGCGTTTCGCTCTTTTTGCTCGCTTCATTCCAAATTAAACTATCCTTCAGTAATCTTGGGTTATATAAATTAAACTAATATTTTCGGATTTAATACGCGATTTTTTATTGTTGACTATAAAGTATAAACTACATTTTCCCGACGTTTCGGTTATTTTACAGCAACCGTGATCATGGACAGACGAGATGGGAGTGTCTTTCACAGAAAAATCGCGTAGTACATCCGAAAATATTAGTTCTCATTATCCTGGGTTATATAATTATATATAAGTCTAGATAAATAAATCTATATCATAAATTAAACAATTCTTCCATAAACTAGCATCAAATAAACTTAAAACTCAATGAATATAGGACTATGTGGTGGCAAACAAATAGAGTAAGGCCTTCGCAAACTGAATAATCTCCGATCCTCCAAGCTTGGACACTCCATACACACGATCAACAAAAGTAATTGGCACCTCGCCTATAGTATATTCTAGTTGTCTTGCTCTGAAAGAATTAATATTAAAATTAGAATATTTAGGAAATTCATCATAATTTTTATTATTTAATGGACTTTTTACAAATATGTACTAAATAATTTAAATAATACTATTTATTTCTCCATATTCTGAAGTTGGTCAATTAGAAATAGTTTTTTTTTCCATTTATTTTTGTATTTATATGAATTTTGAATGCCAGCAATGCAGTGATTGTTAAATAATATTAAATCTCACCTTATAATCATTTCCATTTGGAAGACATAACCCTTAGACACACAGCTGTCTATTAATTTTTGAAGAATATCTTTCTTATATAATCTGGAATAATAATATTTAATTAAAAGAATAATTAAAATACTCTAATACTAGTTCTGAACATAACTTTTGTCTGCTCAGAATATTTATTATATTATTTATATTGATAAAAATAAAATTATCTAGAGGTGTGAAGCCTTTCAAAATATGTTCAATAGTTTTGAGATTTTTGCTTTGGTTCACAAAGGAATAGAAATATAAAATTGTTGTTTTAGTATATTAATGAGCATATACTAAAAAGTAGTAATTTTAGTACTGAAATCATACATATATACAAAAGATATAAGATGTGAACTGAAAATGTTAATAAAATTAAAATAACCTAAAGGATCCCGTCAAGTCTGATGCACCGGGCCTAAGAAGCAACTGTGTTATAAAGTTGGCACCCCTGGATATTAATTTCCTTTTGAAGTCCCACCCATACACGCCACCTCCATCCTTGTAACGAGTCCCAGATACCACGTCCAGATCATGTTTCTTTTGTAACTCAATGAAATTTGGTATGAATTTTGGCTAGAATTGAAAAAAGGTTCATTTAAGTGTTTTGTAATAGGCAAAACTTAACAACATGACTTTACCTGTATGACAAAGATAAATTGCTAATGGCTAATAAGATTATAATAAAATGATAGTAAACAATAACTTGAGTCTGTGTGATAATGCAGGTTTAATTTTTATTAGGTACTTCAAAAGAGAAAATCTTTATAAACAAAGCAGAACTTACGTGGTGACTTAAATCCGCATCCATAATAATGATAAAATTACCCGTAGCATGTTTTATGCCATGTATGTATGCGGTGCCTAAGCCTAATTTCTTTTCCCGAGGTCTTAAAACTATTTTATCCGATCCGTATATTTTCTGTAGCTGCTTAGCCACTTCCAAAGTGCCATCGGGACTTCCATCATCAATCACAATCACCTCGTAATCGTGTCCACTGCAAAATATTAACAAAAACATTAGAATGCAAAATTTGTTATCATATAAAAGTAAATATGTTAATATTTTACCTATTGTCTAGATATTTAATAATAAGCCATATTATGATCGGTAAATTCTCTCTTTCGTTGTAAGTTGGAAGTAAAATTGAATATTTATCACTTTTTGTGATTTCTGAATCTGAAACCGTGGCCGCCATGCTGTCAAATTATTAAAAATGTTAAGTGACAAAAACATTCAATGTAATGTGTAGATACGTTTTATCGCTTGTCACATTATATTAAGTTTAAGAATGAAAATTAATATTTCAGTTTTAGTGTACACAGGGTAATTTTTACAATTAATCATTAACTTGCATTATATTATTACTGTATTGAGGTATAGAGTTAATTAAATAATTCAATGTAAGTTAAAAATTATACATTTTATTTTCATTGAAATTATGTGTTGAAATTTACTTTTACTAGATATGTATATTAAATTGAGAAATGTCAAAGAAAGTTTTCATATATGGTAAAACCTTACCTCAATGTCAAAACAACTTCGTCTTTCGTCCCGTAAAAAATTTGTGTTTACGTAAACATTTTATATACAAAAAAATAAAAGAAAATATTACCGGATGTGATTAAAATTTACGACAATTTAAGTGACCATTAACATCAATTTATTTAAGAATAACTCCTAAAATGTGTAAACTAAGTAAATCGGAATAAATTTTGTAACTTTATCTTAAAAAATGGGAAAAACTAGTAAAGTAGTTGTATGCGGTATGAAAAGTGTAGGCAAGACTGCGGTGTTAGAGCAACTTATATACGGAAATGTGAACCTGAAGTCCTCTTTCTATCCAACCATTGAGGATATTTACGTGGCGAATATAGAGACGGATCGCGGTACTAAAGAAAGGGTCTGTTTCTACGACACCGCAGGCCTGGAGCCTCCACTTACAGGCGAGTTGAAAGGTTCCGTTGAAATTAAAATTATTTACTGCTTTACTACTCAGTCTTTTCGTGAAATATGTATAACAATAATAGATATTTCTTTATTTCGCTCAAAAAAAAAACTCGTTACTGCTTTCTGTTATTACATGCTTAATTATCTACTTTTTTAAATCTTATTGTTTGTTATATAAATATTGCTAATATTAATTGGGTCACATAAAAGTAAAGTACTTTATTTTGCCATATTATTTACCTTTCTTATATTTATTTGTAATATTTTACCTTCTATTGCTTTCATAATTACATGGTTGTATTCATAAAACTCTATATATATTCTCGTGAACACAGGGCCGCCACAGTCACCGACAATGCAGTTGACCTCGAACCAGGTCCTTCAACGACATTATCTCGGCTTTGCAGAGGGTTATGTGATGGTTTATGACACCACACGACCAGAATCACTCGATGTTCTGATGTACTTGAAGAAGGATATCGATAGGAACAAAGATAAGAAAGAGGTGAGATAAATATTACCTATAAAATGGGTGTTAGAAGTATGATTTTATATATTTTGTGATTATATTAAATATTTATAGGTTCATTCATATAATATTTACGTAAATTCTTACATATCTAGAAAAGAGACAAAATAGAATAAGCACTGTTAGTGTGATCACAATTTTTTAATTCATTTAATAAGTTGTATTGCCAATTAAGTTATATGTACAATTATATATGCTTAATTTTCTTGCTTATGTCACTATAATATTATACAAACAAGCCATCTCTTCCAAATAGCCAATAAAAAAGGTCATCACTTCTCATTTATAACTGTTACTCCACTAACACTAGTACTAAGTGGTAACTTTTTAATTAAACATAAGGATTGTTTATTTTGAACAGCGATGCTGTCATACTTCCTACTGAAGGTTATGTATATGCTTATTTTAAGACCAGTCTGCCCCTATTAGCCCCAGTTAAATATTCTGCCCCTATTCAACTTAACAAAAACTTTCATGTATGGAGATAAAGGCTTTCAATTGTATCTATTTTAATTTTATCATCAAACAACCACATTGAAAATGGACTCGTAATTAATTTTGTTAAATACACATCACCTGTACAGTGCTCACAGCTATAATTTTCTATAATTCGTCAGTTAAAATCACTAATTAGCTAATTATAACTTATTCACTTGAGCTTATAAAGACAATAATAAAAAGAGCGAAAAAATATTTGAACAGTATACCAACAAATTAAGTAGTCCCTTTCCATATGGAAAGTGAGTTCATTGGCATATGCCAATCAACTCTCTTTCTATGAAGTTTTAAAAGAGCTGGGTTAATGAAGTAGTGCCTCTCGAACACTAACACATGTATAGTTTATGCACACACACACACAAACATTTCCTGCACACAACACGAGATATGTAGATCGTCCTTGAAAATTTTTGTATGGAATATATGCACCAAGTAGTTGTGCATACCGCCGCTCTGGCTGCATAGCGGCGCTAGTAGGTGACAGCGGCCGATCGAAAATGTTAGTTTTTAAATTGATATATGGCACTTTCGTATTCCGTAATTTACAATTAAAAGTATGTAGGCAAGAATTATACAATGTAGGTTTAGTTGTTAAATGGGTAGGGTAAGCAGTGCTTATTTGCATCTATAGTGTGCACGCCACTGCCTTCCTCTTTAATAAATCTGTTTTGGAACACTTTCCCCTTATTTCTAAATACTAGTCAATCTCCCAACATTTCTTTTAATCCACTAAAATTTAACTTAGCTTCTAAATCACTTCAAACAGCTGATTTTTCCCCACAGGTAGTTATGCTGGTCGTTGGCAATCGAACCGGTCCTGACGATCCAAATAGCTTAGAAAACACTTGTTCAAAAGCAGCAAATTGGTGCGCCAGGGAAAAGATAAGGCATTTCGAAGTATCTGCTATGGACAGACCCTCGTTGTACGAGCCATTCATTTACATGACAACCAAATTGAACCCAGTACAGAACAAAACCGCCTTCCCTCAACTCAGCACTCTAAGCAAACTGACTCAGAAGAATAACAGAAGCGATGCCATGTAACAATATGCTTTTAGACTATGCCCATTTTGCTACCAGCCCTGAGCGGTGGAATTGTCAGGTAAATGCATTGTCAGTCATATTTTAATTAATTCATATGGCTTTATAATTATTACTTTGTAATAGGAAGAATATGATTGCTACTATTATATTATTGAATAATTTATCACAAAATTCGGAGCCTTGTTTTTTCGTAAATTTAATTATTTTGTGCTAAAATACTGTCTTGATTCTTAAATGTCCCTATTTGTGTTATTGTACATACAAAGAATTATTTATGAAAGAGACTTAATGAAATAAAATTAATTAGAATCTCAAGATAAATAACATATACGCTTATAAATATTGACATATTAATGTTTTACTTAAAAATGTACTTAAATATAGTTAAATCGCGAATTGTTTGATTTAAGTGAATTTTGTTGATTATTTTTAGCAGCACATAATCATATTATCTTTATTTTGCCCCATTTTATTGTTTTTTTCATTCATCATATGGATGTGTGGGGCATAGATTCTAAAATATTGAGATGTTATGGAAAAAATAACTTATATTTAAGTGTTGGATTCGAATTTAGTTATAATAAAGAATTAGGTATTAAGATGATTATCTTATGTGAGGCAGTATGTTTTAAGCAGTTTTCATAAAAAAAAATTGACAGTTATGTTTTATTGACGTTAGTTGACATTGACAGTTGACTAAACTTATGACAGTTCAGAAATATGTGCATTTTCTGTGTTATATAAATTATATTATTCCAGTATTTGATTAATATTCAAGTGTATTAAGAGTATTATAGACTAGGACATAATTTATCAAAGTATGATGTTATAAATTTAATAAAAAATAAAAATAATATAGTTCAATTTTAAATTGGATCTTGCTCTACTTAATGCTTTAAAATATTTGTAATTTAAAAAAAAATAAGATTAGATTATAAACGATTCAATTGAAAAATTCATTTCAGGAATTAGAATTTTTCGTTTAAAATATAATGATTCCGAATAAATGTTTCAATTAGATTATGTATATGCAAATATGTGTGGTTCTTCTTCTATAAGAGCACATCAAAAATAAATAATAAAAAAATTGGTTGGAAAATCTTTAACTACCTTCCATATAGGTATTTAATGATCTCTCATATAAAATTTCATTATAATGGTTATTAGACATTGTTTTAACACAGAAAAATACCATCTCATTGAGAACTTTATTTTATGGATTCCGTTCATCGTATCCAGTGCCGGCGTTAGGCGGGGGGGGGGGGGGGGGGGGGCAATGAGGCGACGGCCCAGGGCGCCAAATTTGGGGGGCGATTAGTGGAGGCAGGATACTTATAAATGAAAAAATAAAAAAATATAGGAACTACATAACTTTCTACGTTTTCTATATAACTTTCTAGCTCTGGGTCACGCTAAAGGGAAGATGGTAGATGAAATATAGAATTCTTAATACACGTTCAGTGTTCACATTGGTTAAGAAACAATTAGTACTCGATTTTGATTTCTTCCAAGTGGGCGCCAAAATATTCTTGCCTAGGGTGTCAGTCCAACGCCGGCACTGAAAGTATCTATACATATATAAATACATTTTGTATCTTTTTATGACATCAGCATAATATTGACAGTTGTGAAGTCTTCAAACTGTCACTGTTTTGGTTGACATTTATACTTTTTTTGGTCTTAAATTAGCTCACTGTGAGTAATTAATTTATGTATAGTGTTATGACATTGAAATGTAATTGAAAACTTTAATATTTATGATTATATGGCTTGTAAATATCGTATTAAATTAATTTTAAAAGGATTTTGAGTTTTTTATTTATATTTCCTCTATTCGGGTTTTGACAAATTTTCTTAATGACTTTAATAGATTAATATATGTTTAGACTTTTGATCACATAAAAAATTTGTATGTTGTATTTTTGTACTGGCAATTTATGTTGAAAAATAATATTAAGCTAGTTTTCTTAACAGCGCCATCTTTGCCGGTGACGTAGTACAATCTTTAATATCCTAGAAACAGGTAAAATAGTTTTCTAAAAATGAACTGTAATCACATTAATAACTCGCATCATAAATTCCTTTATATAAAAGGATATAAAAATTGTTGGAGCCAATCGAGCATTATTAACGTACAAATATTACTTGTTTAAAGTAAATGAGAATAAAGAGAGATTAAAATCCAATATTTTTTTTTATTTTTATTAAAATACAACTAATTTTTTGTTGAAAATTTGCTTCTTTATGTCTTATTAGTAAAGGAAAAGGTGAGGGAACAAAGTGCGTTAAAATTATTCTCTAAGATGTAATTTTTAATTTGTTCTAATTAACCCATGGATTGGATCTCATTCAAATTTTTTGAACGCTTCCAAACGTTTTAAATAAGAAGTATTTTGTTACATGTTGTGATTTAAGTTATCTTTCTCTTCATGAATCCTCTAATTAAAAAGACCTCTATATATAAAACTAGCTTTTGCCCGCGACTTCGTCCGCGTGGAATAGTGACTTCCGGCAGATTTTTGGTTCTTCCCACATAGTTCCCGTTCTTGCGGGATTTTCGGAATGGTCGAGTTCCCGCAGAATTTTCAGGATAAAACCTATGTTTTTTTTTCGAGTTCCAAACTACATATATCTGTACAATTTTTAAATATGTTTCTAATATGTTTTGATTTAAGAGGTGTGTCATTGTTATTGGTTAACTAGTATTTATCTAAAGGTTTCGTTAAAAACTATTAATCTCCTAAGAATGATTTTTATTTTTTGTCAGGTTATTGTGAGACTGTTTTGTTGTTATTGTATCTTTTATATAAACATTCTATATTTTATGCTATATCAACTGTATACTTATTTCTGTTGCGAGAATTAGTATGGATAAAAATTAAATAATAACTTTTAAGTCCTAGGATCAAATATTATTCAATTTACGAACAATATAAATATTATATGTGTAAAAATTATATCTGTCCAAAGGAAAGGAACATTTATGGGTTTGTAATTATAAATATTTTCATTATTTTGAATGAATTCATATTTAACATCAATCGTGTAATAAAAAAGTTATAAAAGTGTAATGAAAGGAGATGTAATATTTTTATTGTTGTCACTATTGGCGCAGCATAAGAGACATTTTGATGGTCCATTTCCATTCCGAGAAGTTTTCTCATGATTTCGACGCAATGGCACTTGTTCAATTACTTTTAAACGTCCTCTCGATAGATTCAACGAAAAACTTCTACCGGCTACCCATTATGAAGTCTTTAAGAAAAGGAAGATAAAATTTAATTTCAATATCTTCAATTTAACATTTGGAGGGACAGAAATGGATGTGACAGAAATGGAAGATTAATATCTGCAAGCAGAGCTATTCTTCTTAAGTTTTTACATCAACGTTTGTTGTGTAATACCTGTTTCTGTGTGAGAAAGAAATTAACTTTTAACCAACGGTAATATTTTAATAAAAATTACTATCACCACCTTCTTTAATTAGATGAAAACATTTATATTAATTTACGATTTGTCTGTTTTAAATAACGTTCTGAAAGAAAAGTGAATGAATGTTGATGACTGAAAGTTTTACTTTTGCCAGAAGGTGAATACAGTGTTATTTGAACAAGAATTCTCATTGTTTCAATACTTTATTTGACTCAAAAAATATGAACAAAATAATTATCTTCAGAAATTAGTAATATTTATTAATTTAATATAAAAAGTTATATTCAAATCACAATAATAGAGTCAACCTTACAATAAACAAATCTGTTCTTTTGTACTCCGTTTGAGCTTGAATAGATATTAGTTTTTAAAGTTTATATGTTTACGTTTATTTATTTAAAGAAAAGTAATAAAAAAGAAAGAAACTTTCAATCACAACAGATAAGATCACTTATGCAACCAAGAAGGTGTACTAAGGTTTTATCTCTATTCGACCATGTAGCTCATAAACTAACATCTTTTTCTTTGAGTTAATATCTGGCATCAATAAACTGTAAAGATAATTTTTTATTTATTTTTATTTTTTTTGGGAAACAAACAGTATTAAAAAAAAATCAATCAAATAAAACATATAAAAGTACACAAAATAATAGTTAAATGAAGTTTCTCTTTCTCTACTATATAACATTGTATTGATAATAAAACTAAACAGCAGGATTCTCAGAAAAAATTGAGTTAAGATAGAATCTATAATTTGTTTAAGATGTAAAGAAATTCTCAGATTTTAATTGGTTTGGGCTTAGGGATTTTAGGTCCTGTCACAAACTCATTGGTCCTTTTTTCTCTTCTTAATCACTTTAGGCTTCACCATAAACATTAATTGTATTATAAAATCATAAGTTTCCATGACCGTACATCCACATAACAAGCGATCTTCGTCTTCTGTTCCCACATACATTAAAAAAGTTAATGAAACAACTTAGAATTTCTTGAAGCGGTTAAGTATTAAAATATTTTAAGGTTGCAAAAGTTATTCTAAAGTATGAAGTGTTATGAAAGTTGATACTAGTTAAGATGTTATAAATTATGAGAATGAAGTTTAAGCGGAGTTTAGCGTTATAATAACAAATACTTAGAGAGACTCGAAGCCGTCGTGAGTACGCATGTGTTGCGTCTTGGGATATGATAATTCTAATTCTTGGCTGAACGTTCCCTATTATAGAGTTCCTATAAAATTTTTAAGTGGATTCTGTAATCAAAATTTAGTGTCCTTTAATAATAAATTCTATTTTCATAACATTAAAATATTTATTACTGAGCTTTTTAGGATATTGTATAACTATGTGTATTATGTTGAGCAAGCAATTATTTATCAATGAAGTCACAGTTTAAATGATTTATATATTCCTGTTCAATTTAACATGTATAATTTATGCAACACATTTGTTGTTTGTTTAGTAAATTTCGCACAAAGCCAGACTTGTATATAATAGATGAGTTTAATAACGATTGTTTGGATTTTTTTTGTTGCTATTTTCATTGATTACATTATTTCAATTAGTTTTTGT